GATGATTAGTTTTTATTTCAGGTCTCTTTAAATTAGAAAATAGAAAGATATGAATTTATTATTGTGATTGTGTGCATGCTTATTTGTATTTCAGCTTTTTAAACAAACAATATTTTAAATATTTTTATTTCAACTTTCTTCAAGTAATTTTTGTTAATTTTGAAAGCAACTTCAATGTTTTATAATCTGAATATTCAGATTTGGTCACAAGTAATATATATATACGATTCAAAAATACGATTTGTTTATACAGCAAGTATTTTTATTTCTACTTTCTTCAAACAGGCAATTTTTTTAATGTTGAAAGCAACTTCAATAACTGCAAACAAATGTTTTTTTTTTAAATATCTCTACTTTCACAAACTCTTCATGAAACTAAATTTAAACAGTAATACAACAAGTTTGACCCAACAGGTCATGAGTAGTCTAGTAAAACCTTAAATTTTCATTTTTTAAAACATATCTTCATTTAAAAGAAAAAAATCTGTTATTGCAAATAAAAATTGGATAAACTTCAGAATTGCAATGAAAAATGACAAGTACACTTTTTAAAAATAGATATTTAATGTATATTCTTTCATGACAAATGTGAAAGAAAATATTTTAAATTATGCGAGTACCAACTATCAACCAAAATGTTTTTTCAATTTTAATAAGTTATTTTTTGGTAAAGTTCTTCACAAAATTTCAGTTCAAGGTTGAATTTGAATATATATTTTTTTTTTATTCAAGTAACATCTTCAGAGATTTTTATTTTATGCAAATGAAACAAATTTTCTCTGTTAGAGTTAAATATTTTATCACTGCATTGAATGGAGATGGAATATCAATGACTTGGCCATTGTAAAAGTTGGAGTCATAATATACTGTAATCCATTGGCCTTAGCAATCATAACTGAAGGTTACCTGAGCTGGTTCTTCTTCATTACAAATGCCAGAGTTATGTAAATACTCAGAATAACTGAGTGCCTCTTTTTTCCTTTGTTCCTTTGGAGGTGGTAACAAAGCAACTATTTTCCTGTTGTCAAGTAATTGCTGAGATTTACTTCCATTAAGTTTCAGCTGTTAAGTGTTTTTGAAGTTCTGGTAAAATTCTCAACACTATTCAGTGTGGATAAAAGCTCTTAATGTATGGCATAAGGTAAGAATTTCATTTTTCTCAGGGATTTATTGTTCTTTTATAATCATACTCAGATGGTATCATCTTTCAAGACAAGAACAATTAGTATTACACAAACTGCTTATTGCACCAGAATCTAACTGCCCAACATCTCTAACTGTTTAACTTCAATTTTGTTTTAATGTGTATAGAATTTACTTTCTTTCTAATTTTCTTTTCTCTGCATCAACTTTCAACAAAATGGTAATGCTTATATTCAATTTATTCATCTCATTCCTACTTAGTAGTGTTGACAAACAGCCTAGCATCACCATTAGCAACAGCCTCTTCTCTTATCCACTGACTCAGCATCTTCTACTATATTGGTTTACAGCCACATCACATTGAAACACTGTATAATCATCAAAGTTAATTGAACATCAAGCCTTGTCAGTACATAGATGGGTGACCACTTAGGTGCTGTATACTTTGATGTGGAGGTGGTGTAATGGATAATGACTCAAAATTGTTAATTGAAGAGTTCCAACTCCAGTTGGGTTCATTATATTCACTTATGTGCAAATACTCTTGAGAAAAGGGTATGAATCAATCTCTTCTCATATAGGTATGGTTAATTAGTAAGACTTGTAGTATCATTAGAATCATTATCTTATAAAAAAATTCTTACAATCTAAAAATGTTTTCTTGCTTTAAATAACCTGCAAAGGGTTGATAAACTGTAGAAAATGAATGAATCAATCAAACAATCTACTATGTCAATCACTTGAATCTTCTCACCTGAATAGGTTACTATAACAATGTCTGAATCTTATAAATCAATTTCATTCAATACTTTTACTTAAAACAGAGGGTAGCTCGAGAAACAACTACCATTTTCATATTTGTTAATTAGGTTTACTTAATAAATAGATCTACTCATGGTATCTTTCATGTATATAGATCAAATAATTTGTTTTCGAATGATTCCTTGCCATTAATTTCTAATTCATTCATGCATTGCGACACAAAAGTTAACTTAGGACCTGACCACCGCTAAATAATAATAAGAAGAATTAAACTGTCTTTAACCCCACCAACAAAATATTAAGATTGTCTATGCTAATATTAAGTAAATCAATTTCTTCAAAAGTTATTCTAAAAATCGCTTGATAATTGAACAAAACTCTGTATTGTAGATTTAATTTTTAAAATTAATCTAGATTTGGAGTTTTACGTTTTGAAACATAGGAGGTTTTGTGTTGTGATGGAAGCTCTACAGATCATATTGAGAACTGTTTTCTTAAAAATAAAAGCTAAGAACTCTGAATTATAAATATCACTGTTCTCTCCTATTATTTTATATATATATATATATATATAGCACTAAATGTAGAAGTTCCACTTCATCCTTCTATCGTGACTTTGTCCTTTCTATCATCTTTTCAGTTCATTGTAACATTTTTTTAAAGGGAAAACAGTTTACTAATAGTGAGAGGTCACAACTGATATTGAGTGTTTCTTTGAGCTGAACCCTGAAGAATTTTACATCTGAGGGATCAACAATTTGCCAGATAGATTGAATCATAATATATTTTTGATAATGAGTGGAAACATTATTTTGATTAAATATTTCATTCTTGCCAGAGATTTAATTAAAGTTAATATTAAGAGCTTTATTTCAAAGAAAATAAACAAAAGCAGAGTTTGATAATTACAGACAACTCTATAAAATTTTCACTGTTTATTTTGTCTTTTAATAGGTATATAAAGTGATAAAATTTTCACTCAAAGTTATTTTGGAGGAAACTTTCTATTATAAATTCTGGGAAATAACACAGTGTGGCTGCATCTTTCGCCAAAGGTTGTGACCTAAGTAATATACATGATAAACATTAAATAAATCCAAACTAAAATGCCTATGGAGGATGTAACAATAGAGAAAATAGCTTACCTCCTGGATGAAAATGGATTTGGATGTGTCTTGCGTGTAAAATACTCTCAAAAAGAATATGGCGGCTTTACAAGTTGTATATTTAAGAAAAGATAGATCTCAGAGTCAGATACTTTTGTGAGACTCTTTTCACCTATGCAAATTTAATCTGTCACTCAATCTATATAAAGTGCTTAATTAGGTGACAGAGTGGTGCAACTGTGGTAGCAAACAGGAGACACATGTTGTTGGATTGTTTGACTTAAGTTACTTTGTTTGTTGAAGGAAACAAACTTTAGTACAAGCAAGCAGAAACTGACTACAGAAAACATTATTTAAAACAAAAACTTTGTAGTTATGTATCCAGCAATCACCATCTAAAATAAAAGGTACCAAAAACACATTTGTGAAAGATTTAATTTATCAATATAATAGGGTCTATCAGGAGGTTATTAATATACAAGGTAACCAAAAAAGTTCTGTCCCTTTTTAAAGAAAAAAAAGAAAATGCTTCACAGTATGTGTAACTTATATTTAGTCTTCGAAGTAATCGCCAACAGCATCCAGCACGTTCTGCCAATGTGTCTCCAGCTGTTCAATGCCCTTGCGGTAGAACTCAGGGGGTTTTGACGCAAAGAAGCCCGTGAGGACTTTGTGCAAGTCTGCTTCATTGATGAAGGTTTTCCCACGAAGATGATTATCCAGGGAGTGGAAGAGGTAGTAATCGGATGGCACAAGGTCAGGTGAATAAGGTGGATGGCACAAAGTCTCCCACCCAAGTTGCGATATGGTATCCCTGACCACTCACGTGACATGCGGCCTGGCAATGTCATGGAGGAAAAGCACACCTTTGCGATTCACCAGTGCTGGCTCCTTCTGGTGCAACGCCTGTTGCACACGTTTCAATTGCTGCGAGTATAGGTCTCCAGTGACCGTTTGGCCTGTTGGTAGCAGTTCATAATGAACCACTTGACAACCTGTCCACCAGACACAAAGCATAATCTTGCATGGGTGCATTGGCGGTCTTTCGGTGTGAGGGACAGCATCCTGAGGAGACAACCAATGTCTGGAATGCTTGGGAGTTTCGTACAAAACCCACTTTTCATCACTGGTAAGCACTTGATTGAATAAGGATGCGGTACGGTGGCGAGAAAGCAGCGATACGCAGGCTGCCACTTGTTGTCCCTTGTGGACCTCCAACAGCGTTTGCGGAACCCACTTTCTCAGTTTGTACATCTTACCTAGGCAGTGCAGGTGAAGTCTAACTGTTTCATCGGAAACGTTGAACTGTCTTGCAAGTTCACCACACATTAGACTACTGTCCTCTTCAATGACCACCTTCAGGACTCCGTCATTCAAGACCTATGGTCGTCCACTGCGAGGCTCATTATGGAGAGACAAATCTCCAGACTTGAATTTTCGAAACCAACGCCTTGCAGTACATTCATCCACAGCACTATCCCCAAATGCTTGACATATGTGGCAACTTGACACAGCTGCTGATAAGCCCACTTTGAAGTCGTAAAGCAAACAGCTCCGAACGAGATCTCTAGACACTTCCATCCTTCTAACAGCTGTCCAGCTTATAACTGATGACAGGGCATGGTGCGCATGTTTTTTATAACGTCTGATGTTCCTACTTCTAGCTGTCCGAATTTGAAAACAATTGCTACACGCATTTCGTATATATTTAAACTTCATTCAATGACTAATCAGAAAAATGGACAGAACTTTTTTGGTTACCTTGTATTTCATTTTAGTAATATAAAGTGGAAAAATGATGTCAAATGGTGGTCATTCTATTGTTAGCCAATAGGAATAAATAAATATAACTTAAAGGCTATCACAAGTTCAACAATGAAAAATAATTTAGAATTCAACTGAAATAAGGGACAACTCAGATGAAGAACAGGAAAAAAGCTCAAAAAAGTTGCAAAAATACAGATAATTGAGAGATAGACAGAAACTTACCCAAGCTTCCTATACTGCAATTACTTGAGCTTCGTTGGGGAGGAACAGGCCCGTCGTGGATTGTCAGGGACTGAGCTGGTCCTGAAGGAGGTCGAGCTGGTGGAGGTGGTGGTGGTCTCTGGCCAGGTGGTGGTCTTTGAGGTGGAGGAGGCTTATGGGTTGGGGCTCGGGATCGAGGTAATGAACCTCCTGTAGACACAGTCCTTTCTGGAGGCTGTGGTGCCTTGTTAGGGGGCAACGGAGGAAGGTTGCGATTCAGTGATGAAGATGATGATGATGATGACGATGATGATGATGATGTGGGAGTTGGAGGCAATGGTCGCCCAATCATGCTGCTAGGGCGATTTTTTGGTGCCGCTGGACGATTGCTGGGTGGAGCAGGGGGTCGAGAAGGTGGTGGTGGTGGAGGTGGGTGTGAACCAGGCATTCGGCGAGCCATGTTTACAGGAAGGCCACCAGTTGTATGAGTCTGAGAAAAACTAAAGTTGTTGTTATTGTTGTTGTTAGTGACATTGATATTGTTATTAATGCCAATGGGGGGAGCTGTTGGTGGTGCAGGAGGTGGCTTAGGTCGATTGGCTAAGGCAGGCTTGGCAGGCATCACTCGGCTAAACTCCACTCCATTTTGGACATTCCGATTTTGTGGTGGTGTCCGGTCTCCTTGAGTAGTTGGCCCATTTTTGACTGATCGAATTGGTTTTGGAGAAACATTAGCTGTGAAGATTAAAGAAAAATTATACAAAATAGTTAAAATCAGAGAGAAATTTATATAGAAAACATTAAAAATAAACACTTAAAGAGAAATTCAACAGAATAATTCAAAGTCAACTCTTCTGCAATTATTAACTAAGTATACTTTAATATCATTATAAATTTGATTTTAAAAAAGTAAATGGAATAATTTCAGATTAAAAAAATAATAGTTCCTTGTTATATGACAATGATTTATAAAATATAGTAATCAGCAATATTTCCCAATGTGCATAAAAATTAATCTAGGAAAATGGAAACAGAATTACTATAATTTCTGTCTGAATTTCTGGGGTGTGGAGTTATCATTATTTACACTATATTCAGACTATTGTTCTCATCTTTGTTTTTATTATCACAACAACACAATAGTTTTGGACAATAGTCCAAATGTAAATAGTGTAAAGAATTAATATAGACCTTGTATGTAATTTCTTTTCAAATTATGGAATATTTCTTCCATTTATTTATTTGTATTAAGGGAGGTTAATGAAGTTTATTTCCAATAAATATTTTAAAATTTAAAATTGACAATCTGCCTGTCAAAGAAAAAAGATCAATTTTTTCCTAATACCTAAGTAAATAAAAATTTCATAATTACAGTTATTTCCCTTAGATAGTATTGAAAAATTAAAATACTGTGTAATAACACAAGCTACATCAGGGTTTCCCAACATGAGTGATATTGCACACAGGTGGGTGATTTGAAATGTTGGGTGGGTGATGAGCAACTAAACAGAAAATGCTGGGTGATTGGAAATTTTGGTGGGTGATATAGAATTTTGAGTATTAAAAAGGTATTTCAACATATGTTAAACTGAAAAAAATATTCAAAGGAGATATGCAAAGAACCTGTATAAAAAACGAGTCTAAATGGGTGTTACATTCCTAGATAAGATATAAATATCTTCACAAAAAGGAATATTTTGAGAAGGATCATTAACATTCAAGTAGTTCATCATATGAAATAACATATATAAATCAGATAAGGGGAGACCAAAAACAACCTTGCCTATAAAATTAAGACGTGACCTTAGGATAAACTCGCCAGAGAGAGCACACAAAAAATTGACAGATGATGACCTCTAAAAACTCTCGTCACTGTTTTTAAACAATAAGGCCACAACTACAATGCCAGAAAAAATATGAGAATCATAAGACAGGATCTGTTTACAGATAAATGCATATGCTCATATAAGCACACAGCTGAATTGATTGCCAAGTGATTGCAACACTTGTGGATTACTGCAAACAGAGTTCAAGTAACAATATAACTTTGTGAATGGAAATTTACTTATCTATTGTTCTTAGTATTTTCTCTGTGAGTTGTATGATTTTTAAACATACCAATCTCTTTAGTTAACAAAGTTTGTTCTCAATACAGCATTGACTATTTATCTTATGAGTTTAAAGCTTCTCAGAGCAATCAATTATTTATTTTCATGTGTAACCAAACTTTAAGCCAGAAAGCTTTCATGTTTAACATATTTATATTCTAAGCATGCTGGCCTGAAGGAAAAACTGTTGCCATATTTCTTACAGCTTAAGACCTCATTTGAAAAATGAAAAACATTCATCTCAGAAATGCAGAAAGCAAATATGTAGCAAGATAATGGTGTGATTGTGTCAAACAACATTGCATTACTAGTTGCAAAGGCCAGTAAGATTCACATTATAGGAGAAACATTACTTTGACCTGTTATTGAAGAGGTTCCCTTTACAGCAATGCATAAAATTTCTGACTCGATTATCAAAACAATTCCACCTAGTATTAACTCAATTTTTTTTTTGTTCATTCTTTAATGAAAATATTCAACCTTGTGAGGAGATGCTCATGGATCAATTATTGCTTGACTCAAAAGGTACATCTATTTTAGATTTATTGAAGAGATTTTTTATTGAATATAACATCCTGTCATATAAGAAAATGGTAGTTGCTAACACAGAGGTTCAAGTGTGACACTCTGGTCTTATGTGTTTTCCACCATGTGTATAAATAGTGGTGTCAGGCTACTGATTGGAGTCGATGATTAGTGGATTACAAGTTGACTATTGGTTGATTATGAGTTGCTTACTAGTTGATTGTTGAGTGACTATCAGACATTAAGCAGAGCAGCACTACTAAGAAGGTATTCCCTGAATTTGTTAATAAGTTTCATTGACTCTTACTTTTTTTGTTTGTGTTCCATATTTATTTGCAGTTTGTAATTAAATACTATTTATTTAACATTGAAGTCTTGAGTTGTATTTTATCGTTAACGGCCACCAATACAGGTCACAAAAGTGGTGACAAAGAATTCATGTTAAACTCATGAAACAAGAAAAAAACAATTGTTAACAGGATTTTCAGTGAATTTGTACCACTTCAGAAAAGTGACGACACATAAAAATACGAATTTCGCAGGACTACAGGAAAATGGAAGAATTAAAGTCTGTCATGGTTCAAAGGTTGGAACATCAAATGCAACAACAGCAATAGAAAGTTCTGGAGTTATTATTAGAGAGAACTTCATTGGAAGGAACAACAGATTTATTCACTTCAGATGCTCTCATCAATTCAATTACTGAATTTTTATACAATCCAGAAGGAATCATTTTTCCAGCATATTATAAAAGATAGGAAGAAATCTTCAAAAAGGATTGTGTGGAATGATGGAAAAATGTTCATTCATTAAGGACACTCTTCTGTGGAAAATGAAAAGTATGTGAATTTTATTTTGCCAAAAAAAAAAAACAAAAAACAAAAAACGTGATATAAATTTTGATGACTATTAATTGTTGGAAATTTTCAGTGATAGGTGCTCACTATTTAACACACATTGGCAATGTCTTAACTTAATAAAAGATGACAATGAAGATTTTATCACTTATGCTGGAGTAGTGAATTGGGAATGCGAGAAATTCAAATTGAATGAATTAATACTAGATTTATTGAAAGGCCTCATATTTGTACAGGGCTTAACTGCTAATAAGGATGCTGAAATAAGAGCTAAGATACTGTCTAAATTAGAGACGGCTTCAAAATTAACTCTCTAGAAAATAGCTGAAGAGTGCCAACGCATGGTTAATCTGAAACTTGATACTGCAAGTAGGTAACGTCCAACCATTTAAGAAAAGGGACTATGGACATTTTGTAACACCTAAGAGAGCATTCAAAAAGATTATCCATCTTTGCCAATACCCAATGCTTGCCATGATTGTGGTGGTAAACATTTTAGAAGGGACTGTTTTTTCAGAAACAAAAAATGCTATGGATGTGGAAAGTTTGGACACAAATTTACCCCTTGTAGATACAGAAAATGGACAAAAAATATAAGAACAAATGTAAATGTGGTAAATACATTGTGAAAAGTAGAAAAATTTCAAGGAAGAACCACAAAGAAAAAGTTGTCGAACATGTCTGTGACTGACCTAGAAACATCTCAAAAAAGAAAATTTTGTTTTTGTCAAAATCAATGATATAAAATGTAAGTATAAATGTAAGTTACAACTGGATACAAGGTCTGACATCACCATTATAAATGAACAGACATGGAGAAAAATGGGTAAACTCTGGAAAAATTGCTTGTGGCATTACAGGCTAGAAATTGGATTTTGTAGGTGAGTTCACTAGCAACGTTTGTTTTTTTTGCAAAAACTAAGAAAGTGGTTGTGTTTGTGTTAAAAATACAGCTAATTTGTTTGGAACAAATTGGATTGCATTATTTGATCTGTGGGACCTTCCATTTAATTCATTCTGCAACAAAATAAATGTTGTTACCTCTAGTATGAATACAGCAGACGAAAAAATAAAGAAAGATTTGAAATAAGTTTCCCAGAAGTCTTCTCTGAAGGTCTAGGTAGATGCACTGAAGAAAAAGTTAAATTTGCAGAAAAATATAAAATGTGACACCTGAAACCAGCACACGGAAGATGTGGAAAAAGTCTTTGAAAGATTTAAAGACTATGGTTTTAACATCAGTGAAGGAAAGTGTCTATTGTTTATGAATAGAGGGAAATACCTAGGACAAATTATAGATGTGAACAGAAGACAACCAGATCCTTCAAGTGCGAGTACAATAAAGAACATGCAAACCCCAACAAATGTATCAAAATTACAAGTATTTTTAGGGTTAGCTAATTACTATCATATATACATACCAAACATGCATAAGTTAACAGCACCCTTGAATAACTTGCTAAAGAAAGACATTGAATGGAATTGGTCAGATAAATGTCAAAGTGCTTTTGAAGAGATCAAAAAAAATCCTGATGTCGGACTTGTTGCTAGCTCATTTCGGCCCTAAATTATAGATTGCGGTTGCAGCAGATCCAAGTGAGTTAGGTATTAGAGCGGTGATACTACACAAATATGAGAACAGAACAACTAAACCAATATTGCATGCTTCAAGATCGTCAATAGCAGCTGAAAAAAAAAAACTACAGCCAGATTGAAAAGGAAGCATTAGTTATCATATTTGCTACAAAAATGTTTCACAAGTTTATTCATGGTAGACAATTCACACTACAGACAGGTTATCGTCCATATTTGTCCATCTATGGATCAAAAAAGAGTGTGCCCATGCATACAGCAAATAGACTACAGTGCTGGGCACAATCTTATTAAACTACAATTACAAAATGATGTTTCTATCATCCATAAAATTGAGTCAGGTAGATGGGTTGTTGAGATTAATACCAAAATTCTGTGAACCACTAGAGGACACAGTAATTGCAGCAATAAGGGCTGAAAATGAAATAAAAAATGATTATATAATACAGTGAAAGAACAGCCAGTAACAGAAGAAATAAGAGTTAAAGCGGGAAAAGACAATTTTATAATGAAATTGAAGAAACAATTGAATTATGATACCAGCATCATTGAAAAATACATGCTAAAAGAGTTTCATGTAGGGCATCCAGGAATTTCAAGGATGAAATCCTTAGATGTTATACATATTGGCCAAAAGTGAACCAAGATTCCA